AGAGGGACCACTTAACCCCTTTGGAACCTCTGGCTGGCTGGCCTTTGCCCCAGTAAATGTCTTAACTGAAGAGACCATGTGGTGTGCAGCTTGGAACTGCATGATGTATTGGGTCACCCCAACTGGAACAGCACGTCTCAGGAGTGGAGAACCAGAGAAGGTAAGATACTAAAAAGCCAGGGTGGGAAGAAGCTTGGGCTCCTCCCTTGCTCTAGAAGGCAAGCTTGAGCTTGCTTCAAGGGGTACTCTCAGAGACCACACAAGGTTGCACAGGTCCCGAGCAAGCATCCCCTGCAGGACACACTATACTCAGAGATACTTTGATACTACTATGTTGGAAGTCAGCTCTTTCTAGCAGTGTTGGAGTGAGACCTGAAGAAGAATGTACTGCCCCTGGATGCTTGTCTACATCTATCCCAGCCATGTAAATGGTCCAATAAAAGACATCACCCACAAAATTCGTTGTCTTTAGGTTTTTTTAGGTTTCTTATGTGGATGTTTCTTATAAAGTGAGATGGTGTCAGTTCCATAAACTTCATTACTGAAATGCACAGGACAACATGGACTCAGCAGGGTTAAGTCCCAGCTTTGTTGATAAAGCTATGCTTGTGGGGCCCAGAGAAAATTTATAATGTGCATCAATGTGGGGGTGCCTGTGAAGAAATCCCCTCCCCCTCTCTCTGCCCCTCACTTGGGTCAGCCCAGGTGACCCCTCTCTCTCTTTGCTTTCTTCTTGGTTCAGGCTACTCAATCAGGTGACCTGGCTAGATAAAATTCCTAGGAGGATGGGGAGAGGTCTCTCTTCCTTCCAGCAGGCATTTTGAAAACTACAGTCAAGCACCCCAGGCAGCTATACTTGAGTCTTTACAGAGATTTGGATATGATGACCCTTTTAAGATGTGACTGGCCTATGCATAATTCCTAACTAAGTAAAAACCTGGAAACCTGCAAGGAGTTAGGAATTATGCATAGGCCAGTCATGTCTTAAAAGGATTACCATATCCAAATCTCTACAAGGACTCAAGTTGCTTTTGTTTGCTCAAAATTCTGACTTCCTCATTCTAACCTCCCCACCCCCATTCAATAAAGGTGTCAGGTTACAACCTTCATTGTTGTACTACGGAGGCAGGAGGCCATCCACCTCCTGTTTGGGCAGATAAGTTTGTCCTTTTATTTTCTGTATAGTATCATCCCCTACTGTGCCACCGCAGTGCCAACATAAGCTGTAGTGTCCAGGGGTAAAGGGGTAAACTCAAAATTATGCTTCTGACCTCCTGATTTATTTATAGGACTCTCTGTGAAAGGAATGGAGGTGTTTCTCTGAAATACTTGAGTACCAGGGCTGACAGTGACAGTAGCTGACATACCTGCACAAAAAGTTACAGTAGGTGATATAGAAAAAAAAATGCATGTGCATTAATTATATCTGTGCAGCACAGAAACCTTACTGTGACTGAGAAGTTGTCTTTCCTGCTCAGGAAATGAAACATAATATTGTGAAAGACAACACAGATCTCACAGAAGCCTGGAAGACTCAGATCTAGGAACAAAGGTTTCATAAGGGATGGCAAAGAAGAAAGTAGAAACGCCAGAGCAAAATATGAGAAAACTGAGAAAATGGCACCAAAGTGGCAAGAAGAAAAACAGTAAAATACTAAACAAAATAGCAAAGGGCTGAACCTCTATCACTAAGGCATTTGCTACTCAAAGTAGAACATGGGCCACAGCACCAAAACTTTTTGATGTTTTTGGAGTTTGAAGACTGATTGTTCTGGGCTAATGGCAGAAAAAAAACAAGCTGCAGAAAAAAAAAAGACATGCAGGGAAAATAGAAGCAGACCTAACCACAGAATGAGGCTGAACACAGCACACAGGTCTCCATAGCAAGTGATGCTGAAAGGGGTGAAAAGAGTTGGAGTGGCCCCATTCCGGTATATTATCCCAGGACATTGCAAGCACAGCAGTTAGGTATAAGTGCACAACATGTCATGCCTTGGATCCCTGCTCACTACTGCTGCCTACAAGAAAAATAAAGAAAATTAAGAGCCTGGGGTTGGGGGAGAGGGAAGGGTTCTAGCAGAAACTGACCCAGGACCATTAGCTGGTCAGTTTGAGAATAAAATGAGTTACTAGTCTATACATAGGCATGAACATGTCAACTTCAAATATGGCAAAAATTCTCTCTCTCTCTCTCTCTATATATGTAGTATAATTATAGTCCTTTTTGATAACATTTCATCTTAACTAGTTTTATAGGGTACTTGAGCACATTTCTCAAGAAAGTTAAGCTAAGTTTGACTAAATCTCAACATCTAATAATTGTTTCACCAAATTCTGCTGCTGTTTATATAGCAGATAATTTGTAATTTTTTTTCTAAATACAAGATTCAAATTGCTGAAACAATGTCAGTTTCTGGATTTTAGCACAGCTGCTAAGTGGGTCACTCATTAGAGCAACTACCACAAGGGAAAGA